GGTGAGGCCGCCGCGGGGCTGGGGGCGTCCCGGGGCGCACGCCGGGGGGGGGTGTCTGCGGTGCGTGCCGGGCCGCGCCCCTCACCCACGCCAACCCCTGTCCCGCAGCACTACGCCCCGTCCGTCTTTGAGAAGTACACGGCCAGCGTGACCGTGGGCAGCAAGGAGGTGGTTCTGAACCTGTACGACACGGCGGGTGAGTGCCCGCGCCAGGGGAGGGGCGGCCCCGTGCCGCGGGCCCCGGTTTGTTCCAGAAAACCTCTGCCTGCTGCCGCCGCCCGCGTTGCGTGCTGTGGTCTCGGGCGTTGCGTGGGCTGCTGCGTCCCTGGGTTTTCAGCCACAGCTGGAGGCTGGGGCTCCTGGGGTCTGGTCCACGGGGCGCAGCTCAGGGACTGAAATTCCGGGGCTTGGCTAGGTCTTTCCAGCGGGCTGGGGGCGGATAAAAGCCAGAACTTGAGAAAATGAACCGAGGCTGGGCGGTGCGTGCCACCTGCGGCTCCTCACTGCGGGGAGGGGTGGGAGCCGCAGACCCGGGCAGACCCTGGCTCCCTCCCTGGCGTCATCTACGTTGGGGAGCAAAGGTTGGGATCCCCAGTCGGGCCTCGCCCAGCCTGAGTCAGGGCTTCGTGACGGCGGTGGAACTGGTCATCAGCCGCGGCTTCCTCTGCCCATCCCGCCGCGTGTGGGGGTCTGACCTCATCGGCGCTCAGGCCCCCAGCAGCCCCTGGGCCCCAGACCTCGCCCGGTTCCGTTCCCGTCCTGAGCGGGCTGTGCTCCCTGGGCTCTTCAGGACGCGGGAGAAGAGATCGAGTTGAAAGGCCACTGTAGGGCAAAGTTTCTCAGTCCGTGCACGCTGTCCTAACGCGCAGCTTCCCTCACGGCCGGAGACCCCTGTGTGGGAGTCCAGCCCTGCAGGGCCCCCGGACAGAGCACCGTGAGCTGGGGAAGCCACAGGCTGGCCCCAGACCCCTGTGTTTCCGGGAGCCCTGAGACCCTCTCTGCGGGTCGCTGGTGAGGCGGGTGGGGTGCATGGCCACCCAAGTCCCCTGAGAAAAATCAAGGGCGTTTCTCTCTCCTCCTGCCTCTGCCCTCAGACCCTCCCCTGTCAGAGCCCCCCCACACACACACACAGGGTCCCTGTTCAGAGAGCGCCTACCCCGCACCTCCCACCCCTGCACAGAGCAGGGGCCACTTCAGCGTGCTGACCACGTCCCCATCTTGCCCCTCGCCTTGGAGCGGGCTGGGGGTCCCTGGGCTCTGGCTCCCCCAGCTGTCCCAGGGCTGAAATGCCTGTGAGAGTGAGATTGGGTGAGCGTGGCCCCGGGCGCAGGGGCAGGTCAGGGCTGGACCCTGTCTTCCTAGGCCTGGTGACTTGTAAGTCACTGCCGCCCGCCCTGGAGCCCCCAGCGTGCCCAGGGGAATCCCCTCGGGGAGTCCCACGGCGGTGTGGGGGTGGGGGTGGGGGTCTGGCTGCTTCCCAGGGTGTTCTTGCTGGCAGGGGAACTCCCCTGCGGCGTGAGCACCAAAGGTTAGGCTGGGCTGGCCGTAGAGCCGGCTCAGAAAGGCCAAGGAGAGTGAATGGAGCCTCTGATCGTGAGGAGTGGTTGGCTGGACGGAGAGCGGGGAGCCTGGCAGGAAAGGGCGGCCAGGCGCAGGACTGAGGGGAGAGGCTGAGCCAGGAAGGTTGATGTAGAAGGTTCTAGAACTCAGTAGGCAAGGCCCAGTGGGGGAGGGTGCATCTTTCCAGCCAGCGGTAGCCAGAGCTGTGGGACAGGGTGGCCCCAGAGACTGGACTTCCTCACGGGAGCTGTGCTGTGTGCAGCAAGGCCAGTCTAGCTCCTGGTCCAGCTCGCGCCCCAGCAGGGGTGGGGATGGAGGTGCCCTGGGGAGCAGCCTGTACTCCGAGGAGAGGGGGGCTGGGAGCACCCAGTGCTCTGACTTCCTTGGGGGCAGGAAGCTGTGGTTAAGCCCGAAGCTTCCTGGGCAGGGGGGAGGCGGGGTGAGGTGGGCCGCGTGGGCGCCAGTGGAGAGGGTGGGGGCCGGGTTGGAGGTGCACGTTGGGGGGGGGAGCTGGGTTCCCCTTCGAGACCGGAGACGGGACAGTAGGAGAAGTGGTTGACGCAGTTACTAAGGTAAAGGCACGGGGATACAAGCGAGCGGCGCTGGGGGCTTCCGGAGGCCAACAGCGCACCAGGGCAGGTGACAGGCTGGGGACAGGCAGAGGGAGGTCTCCACCAAGGCCAGGGCTGGCCCCGCCCAACTGGTCTCGTGGAGGGAGGAAACGCAGGTGGGTGGGCCCCGCCCCGCCCAGCCGTAAATTGGGTTCCTCTTTTGGTGGCTTCCCCTTCTCACTGCCCCCACCCCTCCTCTGACCAACACCCCAGTCAGCTCTGGGAGCCGCCAGCCCTGTGTGTGCCTCCAGCAGGTTCAGGGGCCACTGTAGCCTTCTGACACAACCCAGCCCTGGGTCTCAGAGACCCCTGCCCCCCAGAAGGGTGGCCAACGCCATGGGCAAGTTCCATCCCACAGAGGAAATGGGTCTTGTATGGCAGGAGGCGGGAGCTTGGCTTCCGCCCAGCCCCCAGCCCCACCACCCTCAGGAAGGTGGGCCAGGCTAGAAACAAGTGCATCCTTTGCAGGGAGCTGCGGGCTGGGACCTCTGTGTGACCTGGCCCCCTAAGCCTTGTCCTGGTGGGTGAGATGGGGAGGGTGATGGTATCTCCTGTGGCTGGGAGCCCCCCTAAAGCTGTGGGTCCAAAGAGTCCAGGGTCGGAGCCTGACCCAGATGGTTAACGGCCCTGGGACCTGTCTGTTTCAAGAGCAACCACATGCAAGTCCCTCACTGAGGCCCAGAGAGGCAAAGCACCAGAGTATGTGTCTGAGGGGAGCCCGACTCATCCGGGAGAGAATTTATAGAACTTTCCACACTTCCCAAGAAGGCATGAGGGTCAGCAGCACACAGAAATACCTCGCCCACAGGCCTGGTACCCATGTAGAGCCCCACACTGAGTCCCAGGGGAAGCTGAGCCTGGCAGAGTGAAGCCAAGAAGGCAGCCTGGAGGAGGAGCCAGGGTCTGGGCTGGCTGCACGGCCCCTCCCAGAGCCCCCCAGGTGGCTGCGTTGGCAGCCAGCTCTCCTCCTTGGTCAGGGCTGGGGGCGAGAGGAGGGCACCCCAGTAGTCCTCCCTCCAGGGCTCCCATGTTCGTGGTTTTTCCGTGGCTGTGTGATGGTGAGTCAGTCACCATACCCGCTGTGCCCCAGCTTTTCTGCCCGTGCAGTGGCCTGGGGGCCATTGTGAGGGGTGCTGGGCTGACTCGGGGTGCACCGGCGGGCCTGCGGTGGCCATCAGGCGTCATTGCCAGCGTGCCGCAGAGGAGGAAGCTGAGGCCCGGGCTTCCTCCCGCTTGGAAAGGCTTCCTGGTGCTTGTAGAGCGGCCTGGCAGGGGCCCGCGGTGCGCCGGCTCACCGGTGCCTGTTCGTCAGCTCGGAAGAGGCCCCTCGGCCGCTGGGATCTGCTCACGGGTGCTGGCACAGCAGAGAACGCTCTGTCCGCTAGTGGCTCGTTCCTCCCTCCAGCTCACCTGGGTTCCAGGTCTCAGCAGTGCGCAGGACAGAGTATGGTGGGACATCAGATAGTCATCAGATAGTGTGCTAGGAGGCAAGCCACAGCCACGGCCCGGTCGTGGGGCAGAGCGCCAGGAGGCTGTTGTTCCAGACTGGTCAGGGTCGGCCCTCAGGGAGGTGACATTGCCGCAGAGAGACTGAAGGGAGCTGGGGTGCAGGAGAGCCTTCTGCAAGAGGGAGGGGCGGGGGCAAGGCTGGGGGGAGCAGGCTGGCTGGCACCGGGTGGTCAGACGTCCCCTGCGCCCCCCTGCAGCCTGACTTCTGCCTCTGCCACTCCGCCAAGGTCACGCTTCCTGACGTCATCGAGGCCGGCATCGCCGACCCCAGCGGGCACAGTGCGCCCCAGCCTCTCCTCACACAGCAGCTAAGCGACCTGAAGGCAGCACTTTGCCAGTATTTGCAGACTGGCTGCTCAGTGCCAGTGATTTTGTTTTGTTTTAAGATTTATTTATTTGTTTGAGAGTCAGAGTTACAGAGAAAGAAAGAGAAATCTTCCATTTACTGCTTCCCTCCACAGATGGCTGCAACAGCCAGGGTGGGGTCAGGCTGGAGCCAGGAACTTCTTTCTGGTCTCCCACGTGGGTACAGGGACCCAAGCACTTGGGCCATCTTCCACTGCTGTCCCAGGCCGTAGGCAGGGGTTGAAAGTGGAGCAGTCAGGACTTGAACCAGCATCCATATGGGAGGCCAACATCACCGGCAGCAGCTTTATCCACTACGTCACGACCCTCCCCCCAGCCAGTGGTTGTTTTGAAGGACAGACGTGGTGCCTGCCGTCTATGAGGCAGGTGGTAGACAAATCCTATCCTGGTACGAAGGTGCAGAAGCCATCGGGACCAGTTTTGGAGACAGACGGGGTGAGGGTGGACTTGAGAGCAAAGGAGGGAAGGCCTCCTAGAGGAGGTGTCTTTTAAACTGCAGCAGAACCACTGTGCCAGGAAGACGGTCCCAGCACGGGGGCCCCATTTCCTGGCCACCCGTTCCCTCCTGCCCTGTTTGTGAAAGGGAAAGACATTACGTGCTGTGCCAGAATTATGAGGCGGTGACGTCTTAGGGGGCCAGAACCTATGTTTGTAGAAAACAAACCACCATGGAGGGTTCCTGTGTGTGAGCAGGGGGAACCCAAGCCCCACGCGGAGTTTCATGAATTGGTGCAGTGACCCGTGCAAGTCACTTCACGTCTGTCAAACTCGGTTTCTTTTCTTTATTTTAAAGAAGTTTATTTTATGATTTGAAAGTTATAGAGGGAGATACAGGGATCTTCCATCCGCTGGTCACTCCCCAAATGACCGCAGTGATTGGGGCTGGGCCAGAGCAAAGCCAGGAGCCTGAAACTCCATTCTGGCTCCCAATGGGTGCAGAGACTGAAGCACTTGGACCATCTTCCGCTGTTTTCCCAAGAGCATCAGCAGGGAGCTGGATGGGAGGCGGAGCAGCTGGGACTTGAACCGGTGGCCATATGGCATGGCAATGTCATAGGCAGTGGCCCCTCAAACTCAGTGTCTTCGTGTGAAATTGGAGCACAGCTGTCCCTTGGTATCCGAGGGGGCTGGCTCCAGGACCCCCAAGGGCACCAAAATCAGGCAGCTCAGGTCCCAGGTATAAAAGGGCGGAGTAGGACCTGTGCTCTGCCTCCCACACATTCATCATCTTAGGTCACTAACGACTTGTCCTGCGCTGCTTAGGGAATAACAACGGGAAAAAGCCTGCGCGTGTGCAGTCCAGTCGCAGCCTCTCGGCACGGAATACTTCCCACCTGTGCTTGTCGGCTCGGTGCACGCAGCACCATCCGGGGGGCTGGCTGTACTGCCGGGTTCCCTCTCGCACCGGGCAGGAATGTCGGGATTTCCTAAATGTATAGGCAGATGCACTCCAAAAGCTGGACGTGGTCTAGGGGTATTGTTATGGAAGAAACGAGAAGGCAGCTAAGCCTGGAAAAGGAAATCATACTGATGACTGAATGCTCAGAATGTTGGGAAGAAACCGGAAGCGAGGGAAAGGAAGAACGGGTTGGCTGGCGCTGTGCTTAGCCGGTTAAGCCGCAGCTCGCAACACCAGCATCCCATGTGGGCACTGGGTTGTGTCCCGGCTGCTCCACTTCCGATTCAGCTCCCTGCTAATGTGCCTGGGAAAGCAGCGGAGGATGGCCCAAGTACTTGGGTCCCTAAACCTACGTGGGAGACCCTAAAGAAGCCTCTGGCTCCTGGCTTTGGCCTGGCCCAGCCCCGGCTGTTGCGGCCATCTAGGACGTGAGCCAGTGAACGGAAGACCTATCTCCCTATCTCTGTAACTCTTTCAGATGAAAGAAAGGAATGAAGGAAGAAAAGGAAAAACATTCCAGGTCAGGGGAACAGCAAGCACAAATCGTATGAGATTAAAGAGCTTGGCTGCTTTGGGAGGCAGTGGGGGAGGGGTGCTGCCTTGGCTGTGCTGTGGGGTGGGGTGGGGGGGCCGGGAGTGAAGGGAGAGGAAGTCAGCGTCGGTGGTCGCTAGGTTATATGGGCCATGGGCCATGTTTGGATTTTATGGAGGGCAGTGGGGAGCCACTGAAGGTGTTGAAGCTATGGAAAGAGCAGCGTCTGACTTGCGTTTCAGGATCCCCCCACCAGCTGGGTGCAGAGTGGACTCACAGGGGCCTGGATGAGGACAGTGCCGGGGGCTGGCCAGGAGTGGACAGCGGAGAGGACAGCGTGCAGCTGTGCACTGCCCACTGCCGCCGTCTCCAGTAGCTCATGCCAGCCGGGAACTGACTTTCTAACCTGATGCAGACGGGCCTGCTGGGCGCCCTGTGGCCGGCACAGGTCTGGGTAGAGTGTGCAGAGGTTACGAGAGGCGGCAGTTAGCCGACTGTTCTGGAGAAGTTCCGTGGGCCGGTTTCCCTCCATCTCCAGCTTTGTGGTGAAGCGGGGAGGAGGGGTCCTGGGGGAGGGGGGCTGTGCCCCGTCCTCCTGGGGGACCAGGAGCAGGCGGAGGCCTGGTGTGCTTGGTGGAGAGGCCACTTGGAGGAGTGGGTGGGGGCGGGGGGCGGGCTGGCACCACCGGGCCTCCCCAGCAGCTGCAGGGTGGGGCAGGGCGCGGGGATGCCTGGGCCTTGTTCCGTGGAAGGCGGTCACCTTTCTGTAGAGGTGGCTGGGGCCGCCTGGGAGCTCAGCAGCTCTCGGTTCTCACTGTGCTTTCACGAAACTTTGTGGGTGAAATTCTGAACAGGACCTGAGGCTCGGGGCGGGGTTGTGTGGGGTTCCTGGTGGGAGGCCCAGGAATGCCCTTGACCTTGGGGAGCAGGCTCTGAGCCAGTCGGGGGCGAAGCCTCAGAATGGCCCGGTCACCTCTCCCGTGTGTTTGTGCAGAGAAAGCAAACACGGGGCCACTGGGCGAGGGAGTTCTTGGTGCGTTCTGTGGTGGTTTCTCTGTAAGCTGGAAACTGTCACTGTAAAAGCCCACCCCTGCGGAAGTCCCGCCTCCAGGTTCTGAGTCGGTGTTGGACTGTTGGAGCAGGACCTGTGGCCGCTGTGCGGGCGCATGTGGGTCAGGGGAGGGCACAGATGTTTCCGGCCCCCACCCCCAGCATCTGCAAGGACGGAGAGGACGAGCTTGGCTGCTGCATCCGACGTGGGAGGCCGGGGCTGAAGCCCACGCCTGGCCCACGGCTCTGCATCTGGAGGGCCGGGGGCTGAGTCTGTGCGTTCACCTGCGCCTCAGGCAGGGGGAGCCGGGCCGTGCGTCATAGGCAGAACTGCGGCCTTTTTCCCAGGCTCGCCCGGTCGGCAGCTCTGAGCCTATGTGGCTTCGATCTCATGTGTACTTGGGGAAACTGAGGCCTGGAGGGCCGGGGGCTGAGTCTGTGCGTTCACCTGCGCCTCAGGCAGGGGGAGCCGGGCCGTGCGTCATAGGCAGAACTGCGGCCTTTTTCCCAGGCTCGCCCGGTCAGCAGCTCTGAGCCTATGTGGCTTCGATCTCATGTGTACTTGGGGAAACTGAGGCCTGGAGGTCTGGAGTCCAGACCGGGGACTCTGGGTGGACAGGGAGGGCCACCCCCTGATGCCCCCGCTCCCGGTTTCCAGGGCAGGAAGACTACGACCGGCTGCGGCCCCTGTCCTACCAGAACACCCACCTCGTGCTGATCTGCTATGACGTCATGAACCCCACCAGCTACGACAATGTCCTCATCAAGGTGAGCCCCTCCCCCGCCTGTCTCCAGGGGTGCCGCACCCCTGCGAGTTGTGCATAGTCCCAGCCCCGCTTCCTCCCCCTACAGTGGTTCCCGGAGGTCACGCACTTCTGCCGCGGGACCCCCATGGTGCTCATCGGCTGCAAGACTGACCTGAGGAAGGACAAGGAGCAGCTGCGGAAGCTCCGGGCCGCCCAGCTGGAGCCCATCACCTACTCACAGGTGGGCAGGGCCCTCCCCCACACCTGCCGCCGCCGCGGCCCAGGTCCCTGCACACAGCCCCTGCCGTCGGGGTCCCTTGGTGGCCGTTTGGGGAGCTGAAGCGAGTGGGAGTCTTAAGACTGCCAATTTTAAATTAGCATTACCATTGATAGCACTCTGCAATGCTTCACTCAGTTCCCCCAGCGCTGAGGCAGGTGCTACTGTTAACGTCTGCCAGTTTAGAGGAGGAACGCTGGGGCTCAGAGAGGTTACGCAGCACACCCAGGGTCACACAGCTGACCGGAGGGGGAGCCAGCACTTCTCCACCATCCCGTAGTCCACCTGGGAGCCCAGGAGCCCGGCACCTGCTCGAAAGCAGCCTCTCCTACCCACACGTCACTGGCAAACCCAGCCCCGAGCATTTTGGGTGAGGCCCTGGGGAACGCGCAGAATAGAAGGAATGCAAAGGGAAATTAGGAAACTTTAATAAAAAGAGATAAGCATTAATAAAGGTAAATTTGATTTTAAAATGAAGAAATAAAGTGGTTTCATTACTCAGTGGCAAGCTCAGTTGCCCAATAGTGCTTTGAGGGAAGACAGGGAGACCCCCGACTCCTCCCACAGCCCCGCCCGGCTCTTGGACTTCAGCCCAGGCTCTGCCTGGAGCTGCAGAGGCCCTGGTGGAGGCGGAGGCGGCACCAGCAGCCTGTGTGTCCCCTCCTCGCACACTGGGGAGGCCGGCCCTGGGGTGCAGGAGCAAGGGGGGCCCCGAGCCCAGGCCTCCACTCTCACAGACTGCCCCCACATCCCTGAGGCGGCGTCACACTCTGGGCCCCCACTGACGCTGGCTCCATCCCTCGTGCACTCAGGGCCTGAGCGCCTGCGAGCAGATCCGCGCCGCGCTCTACCTGGAATGCTCGGCCAAGTTTCGGGAGAACGTGGAGGACGTCTTCCGAGAAGCCGCCAAGGTGGCCCTCAGCGCTCTGAAGAAAGCACAGCGGCACAAACAACGCCGGCTCTGCCTGCTGCTGTGACCAGGCCGGCGGCCTCCCCAGGACTGACAGGGCTGGGCCCGCCCACCCCGCGCCCCAGTGCCAGACTCGTGGAACATTCTGGAACGCTCTCCTTTCTGGGCTGGAGCACGGTGCTGACCTACTGTCGGATCCACGGCCCTCTCCAGCTGGGAACCAGTGCTCTCCCAAGACTCAGGGCGGCCTCCTCACAGCCTCCGCCGGCCGCGTGCCCCCCTCTGCACACCCACTTTAAGCTTGGAACTGGACCTGCGCCGGCTATGTGGGTGCGTGTGCCTCTGCCCGCCTGACTCCAGAGATAGCCACGGCCGCAGCCTCCAGCCTCTTCCTTCTTTCCCCCAGGGACTCGGGGCCGCCACGGGCCCAGAGCCTATCAGGGGAAGGCAGGCAGCAGCCCCGGAAGTGGGGCCGGCCCAGCCCCCTCCCTCTCCTCTGCCTCAGCCTGGCCGTCTGTCTTCACAGCTGGGCTCAGGTGCCCATGGGGAAGAAGGGAACCTCTGCGAAAGTCAGCATGTACCCTGGACCACCTGCTGGCCTCTGCCCAAGGGCTCCTCCCCTCCCTGTGCCCCGTGGTCGGACACTGAGGTTTGGGAGCCCCAGGCGGCCTCAGGAAGTCCGTTCTCTGCAGACCCCACTTCCCCACCTGCAGGAGGACAGGACTGGCCAGTTTGGAGCGGCAGCAGGTGCCCCACCTCCATCCCTCACAGACTCACTGGAGGCTGCCAGGACCACTCCTGTCCACGTGGGATGGTGCCTCACATCCAGGGCGTGGTGTGGGCAACAGCCATTTTCAGAAGCCTGAACCTCCTTCTAGAAGGACTGGGGTGAGGAGTCCAGGACTTTTTAAAAACTTTTTCTCACTTATTTATTTGAGAGACAGTGAGCTGCTCTCTGCTGGTTTCCTCTCCAAACACCTACAACAGCCAGGGCTGGGCCAGGACCAAAGCTTGGAGCTGCAACCGCCATCCAGCTCGGACAGGGCTGGCAGAGACTGAATGACTTGAGCCGTCCCAGGGTCTACACAGCACGAAGCTGGAGTCAGGATCCAGACCAGGCATCAAACCCAGGTACAGCAATGTGGAGGGCAGGCATCTCAACCGCCAGGCTAAAGGCCCACTCTCAGCCCAGGACATTTGGAACAAGTGCCCCTGGTGGGCCTAGGAGTTGGCGTTACCTAGGATGGGCTCAGGGGACTCCTGTCCTCCTGGTACCCTGGCCTTAGCTCCCCTGCCCAGCGCTGGGGCCCCAGCTGAGCCTCAGCCTCTCGGAAGTCCGGGTGCCAGGGACGGGCACTTCCCACCCCACCCGGGTCCCCAGAGCCTACCATCCCAGAAGACCTGATGGCATCGCTGTCCTCGCACAACCAGTAGGCAAGTGATGGCTTAGAGTGGAGGCCAGCGGACCACAGCCTGGGGGCCACTGCCTGTCAATAAAGGTTTGTTTACGCCCACTCACTCCTGCTTCTGCCCTGCAACTCTGGTCACTGAAGCCCAAGGTATCTGCCCTCTGCTCCTTCACAGGAAACCAGGGGCCACGTGGGAGACCCCAAAGCAGCAGGGAGCACGGTGGGGCCTGGGACACACCATCCTCTGGCGATGTTGCCAGATTTTTCCAGTTTTCTAAGCAGAAATCTCGATTTTCACATGGGGGAGAGGAAATCCCCTTCTTAGTAATTTAAATTTTTAAGATGGAAAACGCTTTAGGGGCCCTGTGAAGTCACATCTAACAGCAGCCAAGGCCTGGGGTGGGGAGAAGGGACACACCCCTCAAGGGCCCCTGCCGGCCTCTCCCCTCCCGACCTCACAGCCTGACCGCCGGTGAGGCCAAGCACACTTGCCTGGTCTTAGAGGCTGGGGTCAGGCCTCCACCTCCCTCCTCCACATTCCAGAACCTACCAGCACAGACGGGGGCCCTTTCTGCTCATCTGGGAGGTGGCAGAAGGTTGGGGGTAGGCAAACACTCAGAAGCACGCCCAGACTGTGTCAGCAGGCCAGGGCCCCTCAAGGCAGAGCCCGGAGCGCCCTCTGGTGGGGCCCTCCTTGCCCAGGACCACCCTGTGGCTCCAGGGAGTCCGTGGCCATGGGCAGCCAGCCACTCAGGAGGCAGAGAGCGCGAGGCAAGACAGGCAAGATGGAGGTTCTCTGAGAACGTGATGAAGCCCACCGTGGAGGGGGCTTACAGCAGAGGCAGAGCGGCCCGGGGCGGCACCACAGGATGCCGAGGGTTGCATTCCACCTGGTGCCGGACGCAGCAAGCAGCAGGTGGGCATGGGTCCAGCCCTGGAGCGCGGCCCAACCCCCACCCACGTGGGGGTTCAGATGACAGGAGTAGGAACAAAGGGGATCCCTGAGGCTTCGGTCCCCCACCCCCACCCCAGGAAGACTGACTCGGCCTTGGCCATGGCCAAGGGCAAGCCGGGAAGGCCCCAGATCCCAGGGAAGCTGGAAGGCCCAGTGTTAAATACATCATAAATAGGCAGGGGCTAATACTGTGCAGACGGGCGGCACCCGTGCCTCCCCGGCCAGGTGATGCCACCGGCCCAGCTGGGGGAGGACCTGGCAGCGCAGTCCCGAGGTCTGGGGGCCGAGGGCACGCGAGTGCAGCGCAGCTCACAGCTGCTTCGTCTTGTTCCTGTTCTTCTGGAGTTTGGCGTGCACAACTTTGAGTGTGGTCAGGAAGTTGCCGAGGAAGAGCACGAGGAAGGTGAGGGCCAGCACGAACACCTGGGGGTGGGGCCCGGAGAGGCGGGGGCGCAGGGGCGGCAGAAAGGCAAGCCGGCAGAAACTGCATCAGTTTTGAAGGCTGAAGGGTCCCCCCTCAATGCCCAGAGCCCTCTGAACCAGCGACCCCAATGTCCTGCCCACGGGAGGCTGGGGAAGGGGGAAGGGGGTGAATCCCGAGTTCCCTCCCAATAGCAGAGTTCTGGGCAGCGGGGCCCCTTCCCAGAGAAAGGCTAGAATCTCCCCAGGCAGACCCAGAACCCCCCGGAATCCCCACCCTACCCCTAACACAGGCACACACGTCGCACGCAGGCACACACACACCCCATACCTGCCATTCTCGGCATTCCTCGTGGCTGGAGAGTTCAAACAGCGTGACGGCGTTGTAGAGCTGCCAGAACTGCAGGGGGAGATGGCCCTACTCAGCCCCTGGCTCCCTGGAGACCCACGTGGGCAGCCAGGCAGAGGGACCAGGGCCCCCAGCTCCAGGTGTCAACTGTCTGAGACCCCCCCCCCACCAATGAGGCTCGGCATCCTGTGCCCCAGCAGGCCAGTTCTGGCTCCTGCCCTTGGTGTCCACAGGACCCCGTGGGGCCCAGCCTGGGGCTGGTGGAGGAGGGAGACGCCTGAAGACCTCCTGTTCCCAGGGTCAGCCCAGAGGAGGGGACTCACGTGGCCACAGAAGAGGAACGGCAGGAGGAAGGTGAGGCCCCGCCACATCCAGGACTGGAATCCTTCTGCAGAGAGGAAGAGGCCAAGGGCGAGAGAGGGGCTCAGGGCCTCAGGGCCTTGCCAGCCACCCTAGGTGGGCCTGGCAAACACACACAGGCATGAGCACACGCACGCCTAGGGGTGGCCTCTCCTACATATGTGAGCACTCGCTATGAAGACACGCCAGGGGTTGTGCCCCCGTCACCAGCCCTTTGCTCTCAGCCACCACCGCCAAATTGGGCCTGTGGACACACAGGGCACTGATCTCTGCCCAGGAGTTTGCGTATCTCAAGGACATCTGTGTGCACCCCACCGAGCACAGCCTGACAAAGCGGCACCTAGTGCACAGAGTAATTCGGTGAAAAGGACCATTGCGAAAGACGGCAGTCTTACAAAAGCAATTTCTCCCCAAGGCTTAGATGAACGCCCTCTGAATTTTTAACCTTTAACTCTAGAGGTTGGAAACAGGTATTCCTAAGGCACACACTTACACATTCGTACATAAGTTACGGGGGGGATTTTAAAAAAATTGTGGAAAAACAGAATTAAAACATAATTTTGGTGCAACAATATTTTGAAGGGCAGGGGTTGAGCCCAGCAGTTATGACACTGGTTATCACACCTGCACCCCACACGAGAAGGCCTGGGTTTCATTCACAGCTCTGGATCCTATTCCAGCTTCCTGCTAATGCAGACCCCGGGAGGCAGCACCTAGGCTCGAGTAACTGGGTCCCTGCCACCCACACGGAAGGCCTGAATTGAGTCCCCACTCCCAGTTCGGAGCCCCAAGCCACTGTGGGCATTTGGGGAGTGAACCAGCAGAGGGGAGTACTCCTTCCCTCTCTCTCTGCATCTTGAATTATTTAAAAAAAAAATGTTGCAGCGAAAAAGAAAATAGAAAAGCATGTAAACCTTTGTCAGAATACGCATTTCCCACAAACTTTTTGGTGAGCCCTCGATATGCACAGCTAACACCAGGCTAATATTAGGCATGTTCTAAAATACAGACAAAAATAGACTTTTAAAAAGGGTAAGATTGAGGCCCATTGTGGCAGGCCTGGCATTTGGGCAGCGGCACGCGTGTCACTGAGACAGTCCACGAGGAATTCTGGAAGGCACGCGGGACCAGGCAGGGCAGCCCGGCTGGGCCGCAGCTGTGCCTCGGGATGCTCCTGCCCCACCACGCGCGGTGGCGGGAGCTGGGCTGGCCCAGGGCCTCCTCCCCTCCTCTCCCCGGCTACTCACCCACCGTGAGATCCAGGTGATTCCTCTCCCCCAGGGCTCGCAGGCGGTACAGGCAGCCTCTCTGGTAATAATACTGTAAGAACTGGACACAGCCTGCAGGGGGAGCACAGCGCCCAGATGTCCCCTCTCTCGCCCAAATCCACATTCATCAGGCAGGGGGCACCCCGGCTGACAACCCTTTCCTACCTGTGACACACACGCATTTCAGTCTGAACCTGCTCTCTCCCTTACCCAGAATACAAGGAGATTCCAAGGACAAGAGGACCCATCTAAGCCCCAACTAGATTAGAAATGTCTAGAGGGGCTGACGTTGTGGCATAGCAGGTAAAGCTGCCACCTACAGTGCCGGCATCCCATATGGATGCTGGTTCAAGTCCTGGCTGCTCCACTTCCCATCCAGCTCTCTGGCCTGGGAAAGCAGTAGAAGACAGCCCAGGGCAGGCGCCGCGGCTCAATAGGAGGACCTTGCGGCGCCGGCACACCAGGTTCTAGTCCCGGTTGGGGCGCTGGATTCTGTCCCGGTTGCCCCTCTTCCAGGCCAGCTCTCTGCTGTGGCCCAGGAGAGCTTGGGCCCTGCACCCCATGGGAGACCAGGAGAAGCTCCTGGCTCCTGGCTTTGGATCAGCGCGGTGCGCCGGCCACAGCACACCGGCTACGGCGGCCATTGGAGGGTGACCAACGGCAAAGGAAGACCTTCCTCTCTGTCTCTCTGTCTCACTGTCCCCTCTGCCTGTCAAAAATAAAATGAAAATTAAAAAAAAAAAAAAAAAGAAGACAATAGCCCAAGTCCTTGGGCCCCTGCACGCGTTTTGGAGACTAAGAAGTTCCTGGCTCCTGGCTCCATCTCAGCCCAGTCCTGACCATTGCAGCCATTTGAGGAGTGAACCGGCAGATGGAAGACCTCTCTCTCTCCCTGCCTCTGCCTCTCTGTAACTCTGCCTTTCCAATAAATAAATAAATAAATAAATAAATAAATAAATAAGAAAGAAAGGAAGGAAGGAAGGAAGGAAGGAAGGAAGGAAGGAAGGAAGGAAGGAAGGAAGAAAAGCCTGGCGTTTTCTCACGCATGCAGTACGCACTCAATGGATGCTTGCAGGAATGCAAGATGTCCCTGTGTTGTGCTGGGTGCTGTGTGCAACGCTAAGAAACACGACAAGAAACTTCATAGTTGCTAAAAATGAGATACTGACAAGGAAATGCAGCCATGATAAATTGGCCAAATAAAACTTGATGAAAATTGCTAAAAAGCAGATTCACACAGTAGAGCCCCATGCACAGAAGGATCCCGTATCTGTAAACCCATACAGCGTAATCACACGCATATTTATGACTAAAAACGCTCCAGAGGACGCGGATCTCAACTGGCACCGATCACTCCTCTGGGCGCGATTGCACGCAATTTCCATTCTGGGCTCTGCGCATTTGCATTTGTTTGCAAGCACATTTTTATGAGAAAATTAAGCCATGGTTTTAGAAAAGGCAACACGTATGTGGAATAAAAAGAGAACAGAGAGGCTCCTGGTTGGCCGGCGCCGCGGCTCACTAGGCTAATCCTCCGCCTAGCGGCGCCAGCACACCAGGTTCTAGTCCCGGTTGGGGCGCCGGATTCTGTCCCGGTTGCCCCTCTTCCAGGCCAGCTCTCTGCTGTGGCCCGGGAGTGCAGTGGAGGATGGCCCAAGTGCTTGGGCCCTGCACCCCATGGGAGACCAGGAAAAGCACCTGGCTCCTGGCTTCGGATCAGCGCAGCGCGCCGGCCGCGGCGGCCATTGGAGGGTGAA